CCATCAGGCGGGCAAGGGCACCCGCTGATGCCCGCGGGCAGAGTTGAGGGCAAAGTCACGTACATTAAAGCGGAGTGGAAGAAAGATACCTGTGTTACCTATCGTCGAAACATAATTCTTCTTCTACAGATGGGCGATGGTTATACAGATAATGTACATACGTATTGTCTGGCAAAGCAAAGGTGAAGTCTCAGGCGGGACTTAGGGCCTAGAAGTAGGAGATATCGGGGAACTTGCAACGGCTTGCTGTTAGTAAGCCAATAGGAATAGAATAATCGTGACGATCGTGTCTCACTCGAGCGGTCGGTAAACAGATGAGCAGTCAATAATTAACCGGAATGATAATTTCAAGGGCTCGAGAAAAAAACTAAAATTTACGTCGTGCAGACACCATAAACAGGCGAACAGATATAGTCGGGGCCACGGTATAGCGAGGTCGTAAAATCGGTTAGGCGTCAAAGTAAACATGTTTTAGCTGCCGGGACCCCGAAATTGACAGAAATACGAGCAGATAAGTACTTGAAACCATGGTCAGGACCGTACAAAGAATTCTTGTATCCAGCGAAAGTCAAACTGATTCTAATATATTTACTGAAAATTGAGTTCAGCTAGGACAATTTAGGGTTTTTTTCTTCTGGGAAAAGCCGCTTTTGGAAGTACGGTTACAAGTAAAGGTCTTATTGAGGTCTTTAACATCTTCATTTACCTGCTCGTGTTATATACAGATAGAAAATGCAAAAGGATTGTGTAGCTTTAATATTAACATATTTTCCATTTGTAAATGAAATACCATTTTCTACTTGAAGTACCAAATCATATGCTACCATTCGTTTATTGTTGGAACCCTCAAACAGACTGCAACACACGGCCTTGAGTGCCGCAACATCAATCGATGCCGATTCTTGAGAGTTTAATTTACGACCTCGCTATATCGTGGCCCCAACTATACCTGCGCGACGCCAAACGACGTGCATCATGGTAAACTTTACTTTTTCTTCCCATGTTTCAAAAATTTCTCCATCATTTTGATAAGCTTATTTTACAGGATAAAATTCAGGCAATCCAATGGTATTTTTTCCAAATTATTCTATGGGTGGGAATAGTGTCAAATCAGCAATTGAAACTTTAGCAGCGATTATTGTTATGTTTACTAATAATAAATAAAATTCTGTATATGTATAATATATTCTGAAAGGGCATTTCTTTACCTTTGAAATGAGCCCAAGGTTGAAATATCTCCAAACAAAGCCGAAATATTACTTATATTACTTACTAATAAAACTTTAACATTAAATAGTTGCTGTTTGATGGCTTTTATTGGCTGTAAAAAGTGGCTGTCAAAAATCTACTTTTATCATTCAGGAATAGCAAAAAATATTTACATTTCAGTTTTATAACTGTTAAAAAATATTAATACATTTCCTGAGGTTTCCTTTACAATAACAATTTATTGTATAACAGTCGCTTAGAAATTAACGTCTACGCTATTAAATATGTCTTACGTGCCGACGTAGGTAAGAGGACAAGGTGACTAAATAATTTTTGGTTTTCCGTTCTTTTATCAGCGTGCCACATTATCGTAATTCATTTGTCTAAGCCATTCACCTACAAAGCAACTTCCCCTCAGGCGGCGCCAGTGTAAGGCCCAAGAGTAGTGGGGATGACTTGACCCGCCTATTTTGCCTTCATCTGGCCAGGCTGTGACGTCAGAGACTTCACGTTTGCTTTGCCAGACAATACATTCACCGTTACCTGAGAAGGCGTGGTTTGTTGCCCGCCGATTTGTTTACGCCCGGGGATATCTAGTACGGGCAATGACTGAACGGCACTGGTATACAGGATGACCCATTTTGAGCTTGTAGAAGTACTATTAGTTTCTAATATAATATATTTGTTATCTGTGGTCAGATTTTGGATATTGTCCCGAATGGCTCCAGTGGCCGATCGAGGTAAAACATGATGGTGGGTGTTACGAGGTGTGTGAAAGAACTCCAAATATAGAATCTTAGCTTCGGGAATTCACCCGTACGGAAGATACAGGTTCTAACCTAAACAAATCTGCCAAAATCTGCGAGTATTCTAGACGCTCCGAATTACAATTTTAACGCTAGATGCTTCCAGACACTTCGCGAAGCGAATAGAAGTCCATTGCAATATTTGAAGCATGTAAACCGATTATAACTATATCATAGTAATTCGATGTTGATTCTCAATCCGTTCAAACTGATATTAAGTACACAATGTACATAATTAGCAAGGAAATAGCGTAGAAAATGTCTTATACACGAGAATCTGTATATCTTTCGGGTATCTGAGTATCTTTCGGACAGGCGAATTTCCAAAGTTAAAATTTCATATTTGGGGTCCTTTCACACCCACCAAGTTTCATTTCGATTGGCTACTGGGGACCATTCGGAACAACAGCCGAAAATTTTCATGCAAAAGTAGAATATATATGTTGATAGACTAGCTCGGTGTTTTTCTTAAATTAATTTTGGAATAAAGCAAGTTCTATAAGGATTTCTTGAAGAATTATTTTAAGAACAATTCTCAGTAATCTATAGATAGAACTGAAATTCCAAAGGATTTGGGAAAAACATTTTTAAAAATAAACCGAATAACAGACAGCTCAGAGGAATGATTCAGACTGTTTGTACTGTGCCAATCATCGTGAAAGTCTCTCATTCGTTTGCGATAGACCTTCGAACTCGCCATAGAACTTCCTGACAATAAAAGATTAGTTATCTACGCTTCTGTCTCATGCTGAACATTCTATTATATTTCACTATACTAACAACAATCTTCTCAGGGAAACTGGCGGCATTGAAAATTTGTCAAATATCTTCAACAAAATAATTCCGAATAGTACAAATAAAATAATTCTGCCAAGTGAAATGTGCACACATTTCATCCTTAAATAATACAAATGACAAATCTCGAAAATTCATCTATATGCGAAAAATTGTCACAAAAAATTCCAATTCTAGAATTTAAAAGAAAAACCATCGAATATTCGATATTTGTATAATAATAATACAAATAATAATGAAAATTCCATTGTGGTGTAAAAAGATGAAAAAAAAAGAAGAAATTCTAATTTCACGTGGAATTAGAATTTGCAGTTCCGTTAAATCATTCTGTTTCATCGAGCAATGAGAATGCAGTGGCGGCAAGGTCCTCGACAATCGCTGTCTCACGGAGCAAAATGATCGTGTACCATTTCTGAAGCGTCATTCGAGACGCAAGGTTCACCGATGCGGCTTGAAAGCACATCTAGCCATAAAGACATCACTTTGGACGCACAATAGGCTACTTTCATCGAACTTCCTCACCGAGATACGCTCTTTGTAGTTCAATGTATCCTCACCTTTTGTTTGCTTATTCCGATGATCCACATTCAATGGACTCTACCTACTTACAGAAAAATCTCATAATTCAGTTATATTTTCATATTTAATATCAATTTGTTGTCCCGTCATTTTTTCTTTTTATATCTTTATACATTCATTTTAGTTCCTATATAGTTTTTATTAGCTATAGTTTGATAGTATTTTAATATACTATTCTTAGGATATAATGCAGACTTACTAACTTTCGGTTTGACGAATTACAGTTAGAGCTACAGAGTCAGAGCTAAAATTAAACTTTATTATTATTATAGTCTACTTTTTTTTGTAGATTGTCCGTTATACTAGATACATTAAAAAAAGAACGAAAATTTATCTTGTATAAAGTCAATTGATATCAAATGATTAAAAATCAAGATTCTTTTATCAAATCTTTACTATACTCTTTACACGTTCCATTTTTTATTATTTTAACTTCGTAACTATTTCTCCCATTTTTATACTCAAACAAAAGTATACACTTTATTCAAAATAACCATCTATAGACATATTGTCCCAGACAAACATTTACCGACAGTGATATTCACCTCACTGGACCTGATAAAAAAACGTATAGTTGGGGCCACGATATAGCGAGGTCGTAAATTAAACTCTGAAGAATCGGCATCGATTGATGTTGCGGCACTCAAGGCCGTGTGTTGCAGTCTGTTTGAGGGTTCCAACAATAAACGAATGGTAGCATATGATTTGGTACTTCAAGTAGAAAATGGTATTTCATTTACAAATGGAAAATATGTTAATATTAAAGCTACACAATCCTTTTGCATTTTCTATCTGCATCTTGTAACCGTAC